AACATTTTTTTATTAATTTAGTTTGAAATTAAAGAAATAAAGACATCAGAAAGTCACAATGCCAACGGAGAAAGCTCACACAACGTCCCCTTCTGCATGACCCAGTTTGCTCCACAGATTCATAAAGCCTTACGTAGTATTTGATTTGATGTTTTCTTGTTTCATGCGTGTTCCAGTTAATCAGGAAGCATATCGTATCTTCTATACATATTCAAAAATGAAAACTTAGCGTAAGAAAAGGAGAGACAGATAAATTAGGTATCTAACTATGACATAATGAATAAACTAACATTTACACTCTACATCATCCGGCTATACCCTTCATCTTAACCATTACCCGGTAAAAATATGCTTTATGTGTCCACGTATTAATATATGGTCAAGTGTACCTAAAATATTTCACAGGAAAGAAGAAAAGCAATCAACTTCACACGTTTGTGACCATATATATATACATGAAAGTTCTATTCTATCTGGTCCAAGTAGTAGAAGATTACAACTCCATTCATAACCCCTAAACATTAAACATAATCCTAATCGTTAAATACTAAACCCTAAACTCCAGTCACTAAATCCAAACCCAAATATAAACTATAATATTATAGTTATAGTCTTTTTAATAAAATTAAAATCTGAAATAGTATATACTATTTTGTGATATTAAACTATACTATATAAAAATAAAAAATAGAATAGACTTGTGAACCCAAAATCATTTGTGTGGATGTGGTTAACGTAATGGTAAGATTAAATTTGAAAATCACTTGTGTTTGTTTAGCATAAATAAAAATCATTTGTGCCAATGTTGTTAATGTATAAACCATTATACATATCAATGATATAACTTCAAAACATAATACATGCTTATTCTACATTCGTCAAATAGAATAGAACAAAACAATATTACATTGCAACATTTAAACAATAATATGTCATCTTCTTGATACAATAACAAATGATAACACATGTTCATTTACATTTAAAATACATTTCTATTCTATGTACGTCAAATAGAATAGAAAAAATACTATAATGCAAATGGAACGATCGGAAGTGGATCTCATGGAGTCGTGAAAGAAGAAAACAAAACTTCGAAGATGAGGAGCCATGGCGGTGATGAAGAGAAATCTATAGCAACAATAAAATAATCAGTGGTGGTACGGATGATGTCGATAGGGAATAATAGCAAACATAATACATATAATATTTCATTTTATTCTATGTGATAATATAGAACAGAACAGGAGATCATCTTTCCCAATTGAATTTTAGAACAGATTAGAGAAGAAAATGCATCTTACGGTGGGGACGATGACGGAGCGAATACGGTAGAGATGATGAAATAAATGATGATCATAGCTGTACATGTAGAAGTAATTGAAGCTATGTCATAGAGATTTATGTGTTCGTCATATAAAAAAAAAACAGAAATCTAAAATATAGAGGAAGATGAAAAACAGAGAAAGGAGAAGAAGTTATTATAAAAGGGTGGGTGACTTTCCAATGAACACGAGTTGTTTGTAGAATATTATAGTTATTTTATTTTTGTGCAGGTTTTGCCAGTGATAACCGAGGGTAATATAGCAATATTACATAAAAGATGTATGGTACAGTGAAAAGGTAGGGTTTTTAGCTATAGACTGAATTATAATTTTTTGTGGTTATACAACCCAATTTCCCTAAAATAAAAAAGCTTGATGTTCGGCCAACTTGTTGTTAAAACGTCATACCGTGTGGTCGTCTTTCTTTCTTTGTAACTTTTTTTTTCCAACCTTCTGCTAATAGTATAATTCTGATACTGATTTGATATATAAAACGACCAATCAATTAGTAATTTACATCTACTAAACTATAAAAGAAATGACCGTTATTACTTTACAAACAGTTTCAAGAAGATTCTTAGAACAAAAACATTAAAAAAACTAACATTACATCAGTTACTAAAACTAAAATCTATTGTAAAACCTTTTTTTTGTTTGTAAAACCTTAATTTACGTATGTCTTGCAAAAAAAAAAAAAAAAATCAAAACAGAGCATATGCTTGATCTTCTAATTGCTTTTAACACCATAGAAAGTAGCTTTATCTATGCGACTTGATGACCCATCCATGACTCAACCCTTACCACAAAGCTCCTCAAGTCTCAGCGATCTTTTGTTTCAACTGCCACTTGTGTCATTGTCTTTCTCCTTAAATAACCTTCACACCACACGGTTTCGGTTAGTGCAAGATGAGACGACGCAAAACAACAGTAAAAAGTAAGGATACACAAATTTGTTAGTGAGTTTCGTTTCTTACATCTTCAGGATCTAATCCAGATTTCATTGATCATTAGAATAAGAAGATAACCTACATTTGCTATATGGTACAACACAACCATTAGTGTATACCATTATTTTCTAGATAATCTATGTAAATTAGGAATCAAGCACATATATATAAATCACCATCTGGCGCACCAGAGTTCACTGTCTTCTACACCTGTAATTTTCATAGATCACCACAATGAAACTTCATACGCTAAAATTCCTCTGAGTCTAGGCTTCAATCTACCACTTCCTCGTAAGTACTACTTTACCAAGTACGTCAGCATCCAACGCACACCAGTGACACCAAGCACTTGATCACCTAAACAATGGACTTATTTAAAAAAAAAAAATGTTAAACATATATAGATAGAGTTAACGAAACAAACTATTGTTCCATAAAAATAAGAAATTCAGAACTGATCTCTTTAGCTTCATGGCAAGAAAGTTCTAGCTTCTATTTGACCCTCTCCCCCAGGCTTCCCTCGAATAAAAAGAAGCTTGAGTGAGCGTGCAAGAAAAGATTCAACAAAGTTATACTTGTTAGTTAATAATTTAGTCTGAATGTTAACTAGAAACCAAAAATGGTAACAAATCTGTAATAAAGTAGTATGAAATTACAGAAATAAAGGCCTCATGAAAGTCACAATGCCAACGCAGAAAGCTTCCAAAGCCACACGACGTCCCCTTCTGCATGACTCAGTTTGGCTTCACAGATTCGTAAAGCGTGACGTATTATTTGATTTGATATTTTCTTGTTTCATGCATGTTCCGATTAATAGGGAAACATATCGTATCTTCTACACCTATTTAGATATCTTTTCAAAAATGAAACTAGGGTAAGGAAAAAAAAAAGAGAATGGCAAATAAAAAGCTTAATGTTTGGCCAACTTGTAGGTAAAAAAAGCTGGTCGGAGTGACGGAGTCTAACGTCATACCGTGTGGATATCTTTCTTTCTTTTTACCTTTTTTGTTCTTTTAATCTTTTCTGATCTCTAATTTTAATATTATCTTTACTAATAGTATAACTTTAACATGCGATTTGATATACAAAACAATCAAACAATTTGTAAATAACATCTACTAAATTTTAAGAGAAGGATTATAATTACTTTACAAACTGTTTCAAGAGATCCATAACTCTATAGAGGAGCTCTTTTGCACTCCTTGTTTAATAATAATTATTATTCCCTCTGTTTCGATCTAGATGTCATTCTAAAGGAAAAAATTTGTTTCAAAATAAGTGTCGTTTTAGAGTTTCGAGACAGAATTTATTAGGTTTATATGATATTATATTTTTCTATTGGTTGAAAAGTGGTTAAATGTATTAGTAATTGTGTTTTTATATTGAAAATGTGTAAAATTAAATGTTTCTTTAATCTGTGTGTAAAAACCTAGAATGACAAATAAATTGAAACGGATGGAGTATTAGTTTTAAAACTTGGCCGAAATCATACAGTTTAACAAGCTATTACAAAAGTTAGGAGATCATAAAAGAACTAGAAAACGATCGAATCATCATTTTCCTCTTAACTGAAGGAGGTGCTTGAGCTATCTTAGTATCAGTGCTTGTCAATGAGTAGACTCCATATCTTCGTCAATATATAGATAAAAGCAGCATGAACATACTCCATCTGTTTCAAAGTAATACATATTTTAATTTTCACAAAAATTAAAAAAATTAATTAAATATCAATATTAAATACATAATTTTTTAGAATGATTTATTTTCCATAATTTTACACCAGTAAAAATTCAGTAAATATAATTATTTTTTAAAAAATTAACGATTTAATCATTATTAATTATTAATTGACAAAAAGTGTATTGAAAATATAAAAAAATGTATTTTTTAAAAATAATTATTTTTTTTTAAACATGTAACTTAATGAAACATAGGGTGTAGTAACTAGCGAATTAGGTCATCCATATTTAACCGTAGTAACAGGTTCAACCACATTTGATTCCTTACTTGCAACACAATAATTGGTTATCGAAGCCGGAGCTAAGGTAGAGTTAGGTTGGATAGATTTGGACGAAGTGTTGGCCGCTAGAATTGTTGCACTCCTGAGTTGTTTTGAAATTTGGAAAGCAAACAATAAATACTAAGGCATTTCATCATTTATTAAAACTAAAAAATATTGTAAAACTTTGATTTACATGTCATCATTTATTAAAACTAAAAAATATTGTAAAACTTTGATTTACATGTCTCGCAAAAAGCCAGACAGAGCATATGCTTGAACTTCTTCTCATTCATTTGCTTTTAACACCAAAGAAAGTAGCTTTGTCTGTGCGAGTTGATGACCCATCCATGACTCACCCATTACCACAAAGCTCACAACGATCTTTTGTTATTAACTACCACTTGTCTCTTTGTCTTTCCCTTTAAATAACCTTCACACCTCAGGGTTTCATCATCACCAAAACTCACACATTCTCTCTCTCTCAAAATCAAGATCACTACTCAATCCTCCAAGATGACATTGAGCAGAGTTAACCAACAAGTTATTGCATTTCCTGCTCTGGCAGGTTACTTGCCTGATCCAGCTTCCATCAACAAGCTCCAAATCCCATCTCCTTCCAAGAAATCGACTCCTCGTAAGAAGAAGACCGATAGCTTCACCAACGGAGCTAAAGATCAAAGCAAGTTAGGACCAAAGCTGACTGAAACAGTCAAGAGGAAGCTGTCCCTAGGAGCTAAGATCCTTCAAATGGGAGGCTTAGAGAAGATTTATAAACGGCTCTTTAGAGTCCATGACGAAGAGAAACTCTTCAAAACCTACCAATGTTACCTATCAACAACAGCAGGTCCCATCGCAGGCCTACTATTCATCTCATCAAAGAAGATTGCTTTCTGCAGCGAGAGATCTATCAAAGTGGCTTCACCTCAGGGAGAAAAGTTGAGGGTTCACTACAAAGTGTCCATCCCTTTGTGCAAGATCAATGGAGTAAACCAGAGTATGGACACAAAGAAGCCATCTCAGAAGTACCTTGAAGTAGTCACGGTTGATGGCTTTGACTTCTGGTTCATGGGGTTCTTGAGCTACCAGAAAGCTTTCAACTGTCTCGAGCATGCGCTAAACAATCATGAGCAATAGTTAGGAGAGAGCCTAGAAAAAGACATACAATATTGTACAAACACAGTGTTTCCCAGTGGTGAATATATATTTAGCTGATCCTATAAACGTTGAAAGTTGCATAAAAGTAGGCAACCTTAACTTGAACCACTGTACGTAAACATACATGAAATTTCCTCATAGTCCTGAGATCTCATAGCATTTCAACAAAATGCAAATCATAGAGCTTCATTGATCACAACAAAAGCTTTAGGACAAACACACTTTGCTCCATTGTAATACATAGAGAATCAGAGTCTTACAAACACACACTTGGCAAAGCAACTGAATAATAATAATAAAGGAGCCTGTCACAACCAATTATACAATGCACAATAATGTACAAAAGCTTCAGAGAGGACTCACAGGTGGACCATAAGCCATGAATGCACTCATACACTAGACAGAGACAGAGAAAGATAGAGAGGGTTTAGGGCACACCATAGAGTTCAAAGCAGAACATCAGGCTCGCTTAAACTTCCAGAAAAGTTAACTTTACAACAAGTGGGGAACTCGAGTCCAGCTTCACTGCATCTTACTTCAGTCACATGTGGAAGAGACCTTACATCTAAATACTCCAGAGAGCTACATTTCTCCAAAAGCTTCCCTATCCCTACAACTGTGACCTTAGGGCAGTTGCTCACCTTCAAAACCTTCAATCCCAAAATATCTTCGCTCCCCAAATCCTGAAAAGCATTGTCTGTAACCTCTTCGCAGCAACCGATATCAAGAGCCTCCAAGTTCTTGCACTGCTTAAGAATGCAGGTAAGGGAAGAGTCAGATATATTCAAGCACCAATCCATCCTCAAATTCTTGAGACTGTCTTTACAGGAATCCGCCAGTAAGATAACAGACTCATCAGAGATGTCTCTACATCCACCGATTATCAACGTTTCCAAATTCTTACAGAACTTAGCCAGGGACGTTATAGACTCGTCCCCAACTTTGTAACAGTCCAGTAACTTTAGCGTCTTGAGTGAAGACCCACAAGCTTTAGCCACAGAGGAAACTCCAGCGTCTCCCACGTTGCTGCATTTATTGATATCCAAAGCTTTTATCTTTATGCAAACCTTCACAAGATCAGCAAGGCCTGAATCAGTTATATTGCTGCAGCCTTGAAGCCCGAGAGATTCGAGATCACGGCATCTCTCAGAGAGTGATTTTAATGTTTCATCGGTGATGAAACGACAACCAGCTAGATGCAATGCTCTTAGATCATGGCAGCCTTGTGCAACGGCTGATAATCCTTTGTCTGAGAGCTTTCTGCAGTATGATACATCAAGAAACTGCAGAAGAGAAAGACATCGTCCAATTGAAGCCAAACCAGTATCTGTAATACCTGTTCCCAGAAAGTAAACACTCAAAATCATTACCAATATTCGCAGCACATACAAACAGAACCTACCGTCCAAAGTATTGTTTCACCATGACAACACAAAAGCCACCTATTTGGCAAAAAAACAGGCTCATACAGACACCAGGAAGTTCAGACAGAACAGCCATACCAATACAAAGAGGCAAGCAATCATAGGGAAGTCATAGTCCCCTTTTGAAGAGGGTCTCAGACTAATCATGAGGAGAAGCCACAATCCTAGAATCACTTAAAGATGATGGATTGCAGACAAGCTTAACAAACAGATAGAGAAACAGTCACAAAGGGACAAAAGGTAAAACAACACCAAAATTAGCAAGAACCAGACAAAATCACCAGAGAACAAATCTAACACCTAAACTATCTTAAAAAATCCTTCCTTTTCAAACTTAATCAGTAGATATGCAAACCCAAACAGATCAAAAATAGAGAAAGAAGAAGACTTTTATTGTTTCAACTACCTTTACAGTTATGCAGATTCAACACTCTAAGGCACTTGAACCCCTCAGCTATAACAGCAAGATCAGAGTCAGTGACACCTGGATAAAAAGACCTCGACACTGACTGAGACAAATCAAGCTCCACGATCCGAGTAAACCTCGATGCGAGACGTCCAAGCATGTGTGGACCAGCACGCGCCGCCAGCTTCTTTCTGTCTGTGCTCTGCAGATAAAGCCACCTCTTGCAGACAAGACCGAACACTTCCTTGTCTTTATCTGTATCCAGCCTCGACAGTATCCATCTCAGCTCGTCATCGGTTAAAGCATCGTTCACACAGAGAGAAGCCATCGGTTAAAAGATCAAATGAATCCAAGTTAGGATTAGGATTCTTCTTCTTCTCTCTCTCTCTTTGATGTTAGATGAGACTTATGGATCGTGTGGTACAAGGAAAGCTATCACAGATTATTGTGAAGATGACGCAAAGAGTCCTTCGGTGGATGGGCAATTCAGACATTTTGACATTTGGTAATAAGAAAGGAGATGCGTCTTATTATTGAGCACTTAACAATGGCGGTTTGTTTTGTTTGGTCTGTAACAGACACTCAACCAATGAAAGTCAACGAGTGTTTTGTAAGAGTTGTTGTCTTTCTTCTTACTTTTTGATGCTTGTCTTCTTCCACCTTCTCATCACAAGTGATGCTTGTTTTCTTCCACCTTCTCATCAACAAGTGGTTTGCAGATACAAATCATATTAAAAGCTTTATAAAAATGTATTAAAAGTTTCCAAATTTACTTCAAAGTTATAATCTTTTTGTCTAAAAAACACATACTGACTCTAAAATGCCAAATTTGCCTCAAAGTTATAATCTTTGTCTAAAGAACACAACTTTTTGTAACCGTTACTGACTCTAAAATTCCAGATTTGCTTCAAAGTTATAATCTTTTTGTCTACAACACACAACTTTTTGTAACTTTTACCTGAATCCAAAATGCCAAATTTGCTTCAAAGTTATAATCTTTGTCTAAAGAACACAAGTTTTGTAACCTTTACTAAATCTAAAATATCCAAATTTGCATCAAAGTTTTAATCTTTTGTCTAAAGAACACAAGTTTTTGTAACCTTTACTGAATCTAAAATATCCAAATGTGCATCAAAGTTTTAATCTTTTGTCTACAAGAACACAACTTTTGTAAATGTTACTGAATCTAAAATTCCAAATTTGCATCAAAGTTATAATCTTTTGTCTAAAAAAACACAACTTTTTGTAACCGTTGCTGAATCTGTTACACAATCTTAAAATGGGGGAAAACATGAAGTCTGAATCCTCCTCCTTACTTTCTTGGTTACATCTTGTGTTCTCTCACCTTTGAGATAAGACTACTGTGTAGTCTTCTCATAAGCTCTGCTACATACACTCACAATGATTCAAGTGGTCATAGTACAAAAGGAATACCAGAAGCAACACTCTCTGCATACACTACATACTCCACACCAAAAAACTGCTTCAGAAAACACTCCTCATACGGTATCCTCTGAGCGAAAAACCTCCACACCACAACAGTGAACAGAACCGTTGAAACAGGATTACAGAGCATAACCTGTGTGCCAACAGACCAGATGAGAAACCCGCAGTAACTCGGATGTCTCATTAGTATATACACACCGTGAGTCACAAGCCTGTGATGCTCCTCGTGGTTGGTCTTTATCAAGTGTGTGAACGATCTCCCCGCTGTGATTATAGCTGTTTTCCTGATGGTTTCTCCGGTGATGATCATTATGAGTCCAAAGTTGCTGACCCACATGTGTTGTTTAAGTTCCGGGAAGAGGGTTATCTCGGTTAGGTATTCAAGCAGCGACACGAGCATTGCTAAAACGTAGTGTTTGGTGATCAGAAGTGAGCTTAGAGTCACATTTGCCGCTCCGTGAAAGGCGATGGCTAGAATGTATTCCGATGTGTGGAAGAAGGTTAATGCTAGTAGCATCTGAGATAACTGTCTAATGTTTGTGTCACTGAAGATCTCTGTAATTTTTGTCAATCAAGAAAGTCTTTTGAGAGTGAGTATCCTCTCCTCTAAGACCATAGCCTCTATGATAATATAAAGCAGACCTGTGAATGAGGTGGAGGAGGCATAGTGTAGTATCAGTAACGGATCCAAAAAGTGCATAACCACCTGAGAATGGATTAGCCAAAAAAAAGAGGAAACTCAATTGGATTAAACCTCAACTTTCCAAACACTTAAACTATCTAAACAGGAACAAGTTGTGGCATCAGGAAGGATTATGATTTTGATCCAAATGTTGAAACTTTTCCAAAGAAATATATGATCTTGATCCAACTCTTAACCTCTGAGTTCTCCTAGTATCAGTTTGAACACTTTAGCAAACATTCAAAAGTAAATAAGTACTAAAAACTACATTGTTCACTGGTTTGATCAGACAAGCTTTAACAATGGCACTGAATATATACGGTTCCTACATGAACAATGAGATTTCTACACAAAAACATCAACCAACAGAGAATCTAGACACTTGGCTTGATATTGTTTATCTAACAGAAAAGAGTTCCCTTTTTATTAACGCTCTTTATGGGCATGAGTCCTAGCGAAATAATCAATTAATTTGCAGGAAAAAATCAGAGACGAGAAAATGAACAGAGATGAGGATCAGAGGATATACCCAATGGAGATCGTATTTATAGGGAACTATATGCGACGCTGTGGAAGAAGAAGGCAGAGAGATGATGTTTGTCCCAATTGCCAAAAAAAAAGACCAACGAAGGCCCAAGGAGAAGAAACTTATTGTATGTGTACTCTCAGGCATGTGCAGGTCACATGGGCCATTCGTATCATATATATGGAAGGTTGACTGATAACAGATTGTAAGTTGGTTGTCTAAGAAAATAACTCTACCAAAATCTTTTTTTACTAAGTAAATAACAAAGAAGTCTCTGCATATTCAACTCTCAGTTACATAAAGCTAAAAAGATCGGTCACATGAGATAGCACTTGCTTGTTGTTTGGGATCTCTGTTGCAAAAATGAGACTGCCCAAGCTTTTAAGGATAGGCTTTTTGGACTTCACATGGACTCTCCAACAAGAGTTTTTTTATTTTAGCTTTAGGCAATTGGGATGTTGGGTTCACCAAGATTCACAAACGCCTCAGCACGGGCCATCCTACTCATAGCAGCGTTCCACGACACCAAATGGTTCAGAAATGTGTTTATGTACTTAGCCCTCTCGTTCTACCACCCAGGACAAAAAATAAAAACACTCATTAGCCTTTTATTTTGGAACTCAACATTAAGAACACAAGATGGTTAAAACCGAAGCTAGTTTCTTACCTTGTAGTCCAGATAATAAGAGTGCTGCAAAGTCAAGAGATGGAAACGAAAAGTAATTAGAAGATTCATTTATGTTTCTAAGTGTTTCATTGAAGTATTAGGGAAAGAGAGGAGATAGTATTACCTCCCACACATCCAAGCAGATGATTGGCTGTAACAACAACAACAAAAAAAGAGATGTGATCAAGAGGTAACATCAGAGCATAACAAGAAAACTAATTAGACATCTCACATACAATATCATCCCACACTAGTGGGTTAATGGCGTTTGAGGTTTTGACCACTTCAAGTCTTCTCTCTTCCCTCTTCACTGGAAAAAAAAACAGAGAATCAAGATTTCCATTTTCAAAGTCATTCTAGAGTTTCAAGTTAATCTGAAAAGATAGTAGAGTATCTCACAAACAAGCCAAACCCAGCCAGACCCAAACTGAGTAAGAGCAGCATTAGTAAACTTTTCTCTGAAATTCGTAAAGGAGCCAAAATCTTTCTCAATCTGCTCAAGAACACCCTTTACAGGCATGTCTCCACCACCAGGTTGCATTGACTCCCAGAAGAAATCATGGTTATAAACCTTTAAAAAACAACAAACATTAGCTTCTCCCTGGGGGTGGGTGATAATGTACAAGAAGCAGCTTAGAAAACTAAGTAAGTTACCTGTGCAGCGTTGTTGAACTCAGGCAAAGGATTCCCGTTGTTGTATGTCGCCTTGATAAGCTCTTCCATGGTGTATCCATAGAGTCTATCATCTTTCCCTAACTGTTTGTTTAGATTGTCTACATAGCCTCGGTGGTGTTTACCCCAATGCACTTCAAGTGTTCTTTGACTCATGTAAGGCTCCAATGCATCCTAATTCACATTTTGTTCAAGTTATATGTAAATGCAAGAGATATATACACAGACCAAGATACAATTTGCCCTAAAATCACTAGACAGTTGATACCAAGTAACCAACTTTCCAACATCTATGTGCCTATAACAGAACATCAAATGGATTACAGAGGCAAAGAGACAAAGTTAAAAGCATCTCACTGAAAGACAAGTACCAACTTACAAGAGGATAAGGAGGAGTCTTTAGACCATAGTAAGCTTCAACCTTTAAACCCCCTCGTGACGCAAGAGAGCGTCTTCTCTGCTGATTACTCTAAACAAAAACCAAACACCAAAATTCAAAAGCTTTAGTGATTGAAAAGATACATATTCATATGAACTCAGCAAAACCAAAGAGGATTTAACCGAACCAGATGGACAAGGTTGGAGGATTTCAAACGTATACTAGAATCTGAAACAGGACAGAAACTGCTTGTCGTCACAACACAAGAAGCCATTCTTAGAAAACACAGAGTTTGCTTGCTTCTTCACTCCTGGTTTTTACAGAGAGTGAGAGAGACCTTATCAATCTGTTGGTTCGATCCGGTTAAATGTTATAAAACTATAAAACCCTAGAAGGTTTCCCCTCCGGTTAACTAAAAAAACCGGTTAACCAAACCGGAAAGAAGATGTGCAAACAACAGCCAACAAAAGAAAAAGGGTTTTAGCGTGAAACCGACCAACGCATAGCGTATCCTCCTCCGTCAAGCCGTGAGCTCAAAGCCTAAAACCCTCTTCTTGTAGTAATTCGGATTGTCTGAAAAAACCAATCCTTTTTGAATTTCGTTTGCTTTCCAATTTTGATCAAACCAATGGCTGGAAGAGCTGCGACGTCGTCTGCTAAATGGGCGAGAGAGTTTTTATTCAGAAGGGTCTCTTCGAATCCTCTTGGTGGAGCGATTCGAAACTGTTCTTCAGCTTCCTCTACACCTAAAGTACCTAAAGTTCCTCACTTTTCCAAGAAAGTAAGCACCTTTTGATGAAATCGCTAATTAAAATTAAATCTCTTTTATTATCAAATGCTTATTTATAGTAGATTTAGATCATTTTGTCTCTTACAAGAGCAAATCAATGTCTCATGTCTCAAAGTATTTAGCTTTGTCTGTCTTGAAAATTTTTAGGGAAGGATGTTGACAGGAGCAACCATTGGTCTTGCCATAGCTGGTGGAGCTTATGTTAGTACTGCAGATGAAGCAACCTTCTGGTACTTTTCCCTGAGACATTACATATCTTTTGTCTTTTATTCTCTTTATTAATTTATACTTTGTTAAAGACCAACAAGCTGTTAGTCTAGTGGTAAATGTTAGTCTAGTGGTAAAGGAGTGTTTAGTAGGCATTTCGCGGTGTTGGTCTAGTGGAAAAGGAATTCAATTCTCGTTGAGAGTGACTATTTACATTGATTAGGTTCCCGGTAAAGAGGTGAAACCACCCCTACTATGTTAAAACCATCTTTGTTTTTTACTTTTTTTGTTCCATCTTGTGTGTTGTGACAGTGGGTGGCTGTTCTCAGCAACAACTACATATCTTTTGTCTTTTATTCTCTTTATTAATTTACTTTGTTAAAGCCATTTTGTGATCACTTTTAAGGGAAATGACTTTCTTTTTCTTTTATAACTTTTTGCTCAACCTTGTGTGTTGTGACAGTGGGTGGCTGTTCTCAGCAACAAAGGTTGTTAACCCTCTCTTTGCGCTTTTGGATGCTGAGTTCGCACATAAGCTGGCTGTCACGGCTGCTGCTCGCGGGTGGGTGCCTAGAGAGAAGAGGCCTGATCCACAAATCTTGGGACTTGAGGTTTGGGGAAGAAAGTTTTCTAACCCAATAGGGCTTGCTGCTGGATTTGACAAAAACGCTGAAGCTACAGAAGGGTTGCTAGGACTTGGGTTTGGTTTTGTTGAAGTAGGCTCTGTTACTCCAGTTCCACAAGAAGGCAACCCTAAACCACGTATCTTCAGGTTACGTGAAGATGGGTAAGAATCTCAAAACCATGACCTTTTTTAATGTTGGGATGATCAACATTTTTAAACTAACATACTCAATATGTGTTGTTGTCTTTTCAGAGCCATTATCAATAGATGTGGGTTCAACAGTGAAGGGATTGTTGTTGTTGCAAAGCGGTTGGGTGCTCAACATGGTAAAAGAATGTTGGCGGAAACATCAGGAACTTCGTCTTCTTCAAGCGATGAAGTGAAACCAGGGGGGAAGTCTGGGCCTGGTATTCTTGGAGTTAACCTTGGAAAGAACAAGACAAGTGAAGATGCAGCTGCTGATTATGTCCAGGGAGTTCATAACTTATCCCAATATGCTGATTACTTGGTAAAAAATTCTTATAATGATATGTAGAGCATCTAACTTAGAATCATTTGCTCCTAAGTTTCGTTTTACTCCGCAGGTAATCAATGTTTCATCACCCAACACAGCAGGGCTGAGAATGCTTCAGGGAAGGAAACAGTTGAAGGACCTTGTAAAGAAGGTTCAAGCTGCTAGGGATGAGATGCAGTGGGGTGATGATGGTCCTCCTCCTCTTCTTGTGAAGATTGCTCCTGATCTATCCAGAGGAGAGCTTGAAGATATTGCAGCGGTACGTTGTACTTTAGAAAAACGAAACTCAATACTTTCCAAAGTAAATGGCTCTTACAACATTGTGTTGTATTTGATTCTGTAGGTTGCTCTTGCTCTCCACTTGGATGGGCTGGTAAGTTATCTTTATACACGAATTAGCTTCTGTATCTATCATCAGTGTTGAAAAAGCGACCATATGTTTACAAAAGTCTTTGGTCTCTGTTGTTATTCTTACATAGATCATATCAAATACAACAGTCTCGAGGCCAGATCCTGTAACCAACAACCCTGTGGCAACAGAAACAGGTGGTCTGAGCGGGAAACCGCTCTTTCCTCTCTCCACCAACATGTTAAGAGAGATGTACACTCTGACACGAGTAAGTTTTTTTATCTAAAAAGAGATGTAACTATTATACCAAGGGAGTAAAACATTTCTGATTCGGGTTAATGGCTATTTTCATGACCTCTTACTTAGGGAAAGATTCCACTGATAGGCTGCGGTGGTGTTAGCAGGTAAACGTCTCAACATGTTTGTTAGATTGTGAGGAAAACAAAAAAAACAAAAATGTTATTCAGATGAGTTTTTGTGTGTGTGTTTTAGTGGTGAGGATGCTTACAAGAAGATAAGAGCTGGAGCTACTCTTGTTCAGCTGTACACTGGGTTTGCGTATGGTGGACCTGCTCTCATCCCACAAATAAAGGTATCTCTTTTTTCATTTCCCATAACTACTGGTCTTATTCTTGGATCATGGAAGTTTAATAAGCATAGAGAGGTCTGAGACAAGATTCATGAACTATTTTAATGTCGAATACTGGAAAAACATGTTTGTTGTAATCAACTCTGCATATTGACTTCAGATAGTGTCTTCAATGTTACTAATAGTCATGCCATTTTTTGGTGCAATAGGAAGAATTGGTGAGTTGCTTAGAAAGAGATGGCTTCAAGTCGATTCAAGAAGCAATTGGTGCAGATCACAGATGATCAAACACGACCAAGAACAAAATCTCCAGAGAGAAGAGTGTCCTTTTCTTACAACAAAAACAAAAGAGTTGTATTAGAAATTTCATTGATTCAGTTGTTTCTTCCTGCCTACACAATAACATCATGGTTTTTGTCTCTTTAATCTCGTTTTATGGGAAATAAAGACATTTTATTTTTCTCACTGTGTAACTAGTTTTAACCTTTTAAATCATTTGTTCTCTTAACATTACAGCACAAGTTCTTCTAGCACACAAAACACAGCATGTTTGAGATCATAAGAGTCCTAACAAAACTGATCAGACAAAACAATGTGCAATCGCAAAATGTTAAGACAGCAAAAGCAACTAGAGACGAAGAAGAATTTTCAGGACGTGGTTGCAGCTTGTAACTGTCTAACTTTACCCTGCAAGACCATCCCTGCTTCATCTGCCACAGATTTCTTCTTCGCCAACACCTGCATTAAATAAACATTTATTAAAGCTTATAACTAAAATCTCAAGTAACCTTAGCTATAGCTGTAGACATAGGTCTTGAAAAACAAAAAGGGTATTGGGACAATTAGGCGCTGATGCAAGATTTATGTTAACAATATGAAGCTATGAACGACAAAGCATATGGGAAGGAGATATCATGCTTGACACGGAAACAATAGTCAGAACTAATAACAAGTACTTGAAGTGATAAAGAGACTACTTAGTGACTTAGTGTGTATGATGCATATATAGCTATCAACCAAAGGGCGTTCTGATTAAGTTGATTGCCTTCCAAAGCAGCCATCAAACTATCATCCCTAACACACAGGATCAGTCACTTAAAAAGATTGAAACTAAAACCTGAACAGCTACAGTAGTAATATAACCCCTACTCCATTCGATTTGAACTCTTTCCACTTAATAATTTCTCAATATTAATAAATGTTAATGAGAACTTTGTTCTTCTTCTGTATGAGGACAGTCCTAAGTCAAAATCTCTATGCATTTTTTTTTGCCTTTATTTCCCCCTCAGGATCTATCTAAAAACATACCTCAACGAGTTGTTCATAATTGTTACGGAATAGTTAGAACTAATAAAAACTACTGGAAGTGGAAAATCAAATCAGATGTAGAGTGAAGTGATAAAGACACTATGCATGTATGGCTCTAAGGAGTGTTTGATAATGTATACCAACCAAAGGGATTTCTGATTATGTTGATTGTCTCCCATATCAGCCATTAAACTATCATCCCTCGTCCACTTTTTCAACATTACATTAGATCAATCACTACTAAGGATTGAAATTAAAAACTGAACAATAGTAATATAATCCTATTCCATTCATTTGAACTCTTTCCACATACTAATTTCTCAATATTAATAACTATTAATGAGTTCTTCTGTATGAGGACAGTTCTAAGTCAAAATATCTATACCTTTATACACCCCTGAGGATTTATCTAAGGAACATACCTCAAAGAGTTGTTCATAATTGGATTTCAACAAATTAATCTTCCTCTGACAATAATCTTTCCCATCATCCATCGTTTTCTACACAAACACACACATATTAAAACAATTCAACTCCTTCTTCACATTAAAACAATTCTTAAAATCAAATTCCCAATCTAATCCCTATATATACCTCAATGAAGTAGCCAGTGCCGATATCAACAAGAACCTTATCAGCTTCATCAAGTGTCCCAGGCACGTAAAGAGAAGCAGTGAGCGGCACGAGCATCTTCTTACCCTGAGGTCGAATCGAGAGATCGTTGAGAGCTCCCGCGGCGGATTCGAGGCGAGCGTTGGCTGTGCGGATGTTGTTGAGACTGTCTTGGAGGAGATTCACTTCCAGATCCGCTTGCTCTTTCAACGCTTTCAGCTGATCGATTCCCATCTTCTCTAGCTCTCCTCTCGCCGATGATGATGACGTCATTCTCTTTCTCTCGTTTCTCAGTCGCCTCCTCCGAGTCAGTTGTGAAAACTCTGCCGCGGCGAAAGTGAAGTGTTAGGAGTCAGAGATGAAGCCCGGCCCATTAATCTCCGTGCTAAGGCCCATTTAAGTCCATCTAGTTTTGCGCCATTTTAGTTTCCATTTAACCGCGAGAGAAACTGTTAGTGAAGTTTACTAAAATAATAAGTGGGTGTTATTGAATTAGTGAATTTAGTGGAAATTAATGGAATTCAAATCTCAAGTGAAATCCCTTGTTATTGGATTGGGTATTTGTTAAATAGAATTCAAATCACCTGTTATTCAATATCCATGGGATTTTAATAGAATCTAGTTTCAATGGAATTTGATGTACTTTTATATGAAAAATAACACTAAACCAAATCCGACACTTCTTGTTTGGAGTTTGTAATCAAATATGTTTCCTCTCTTTACTGTTCTTATACGACGGCTTATGAATCTAATTAGAAAAAATGTCTATGGGTTATCTTCTCTAAAAATCCTTGCGCCGCAAAGAGCCCCACCTAGATCCGCCGTCGCTTCTCATCTCAAAGGATTCGCAAATTTCCTCTTTCACCGGCTCGCTCTCCCACTGGTGACGAGCCCCACCTAGATCCACCTTTGTTTCTTCTTCTTCTGCCATCTTTTCAATTCTAATGAAGTCTCTCCCACAAGCCCCAGATCCAATTAAATCTCCTTCCGGCGAGTTTAAAGCTCTTCCTGATGGATCTCAACCTTCAAGCAATGTGCATTGTGACTTAATTGCTGGTGGGTCCTAAAGAATCTCTTCGCCACCGGTAAATCCCAACTCCAACGGCTTTCTTTCACCAGTTCATGTCCTTCAAGAAGAAGTGAGTGTTGATATAGCCTCACCTAATCTGGTCGCCGGAACAGACTGTGTTAGAGCCTCTGTTATTGGTGGTCTTGTTAGTGGAGAACCTGTGAATTTGACTGTAGCTGAAAGTGGTGCTCCGGCGGCCAGAACTCAAGCCGTGGTCGTTGAAGATCCAGTTGTTGCTCCCTCTCCTTTTGTTCCGTCTTTAGCCATGAATCATGATCTAAAGGACCCGATTCCTAAAGCTTCTCCATCTGAGACATGGTGTAACGTTTGGAACTGAGTTTCTAGTCCTTTGAAATTACAATGAATTCCATTTCAATCCATCTTATCTTTTTAAGAATCCAATTAAATCCACTAAAGTACTCGTAACTACAGTTACATTCAGTTCTGTTGAATTCATTAATTCAATAACACCCCCTAACATTCTGAACCTTAGGTGTTGAATGTCTATTCGGTTTGGATCTATTCGGTTTAAGATTTTCAGGATCAAAGATTTCAATTTCATTCAAATAATTCTAAGTTTGGGTTTGGATTTGGTTCGCATTTTTGCAGGTTTAGATAACCCATTCGAATTATTTTAAAACTTTTAAAATTCATTATATGCTTTAAATTTTTGAAATTTATAAACAAAAAAATTTATTGCATATAAATTTGAATAACATATGTCACAATACCTAAATTTAATATATATATATAAATTAATTTGGTTTCAATATTTAGATAGGGAATTAATAGATATTTCAAATATTTTCGGTGTATTAAAGTATACTTTTACTATTTTAAACATTTCCTTTTAATTTTTTGTTTACATTTTTCAAGTATTTAGACAACTTAAAAATATTTTAAAAATTATTTTTAACTATATATTAAATTAAAAATAATTAATATATCTAGGCATATAAATTTATTTCGGATATTCTAAATAATTTGTTTCGGATCAGATTTGGATCGAATTCAGTTTTAATTTATTAAATACTAAACTTTTGAATCGTTTAGATATTTTATCAATTTTTATTTAGATTCAATATTATTTTTTTGAGATTGGGTTTGGTTTAGTTCTTCAGATTATGATGTTTTGTGGAGTCATACCACTGCTCGTTTATTACTCTTTTACCTCGAAGGCTCGAACGATAAGCGTCGATATTTATTTTGAATTTCATCTCTTTTAATGTGCGAGTGCATTATATCCGTAGAATTTAAAAGTCTGAGTATCTCTCTGTAATGATTTTTAGTAATCAATTCATTCTGATTTTTTGGTAAGATTTAAAGGGAAACTATTTGACAGTACATTTAATACGGCAATAGAGATGGTAGAGTGAGGTGAATGAGAGGATATTTACTTACATGTGTCGGTCCAAAATGCCATATAGTATACAAAATAATTTTATTAATAGCATATATCATATGCCAACCTATAGAAATTATTTTTGGTAGACAAGAATGGGACCATGTGCATTATTGGAGTTGGGGTCATATTTGATGATTCGACAATAAAAGGTACGGGATGTTTTGATACGAGTTGATTACTTTAGTTCCCCCACCTATAATTATTTTGCATTATGTTAGATAGCTGAGTGTTAATTACTCTAGTACTAATTAAGAAACAAAAACATCAACTTTTTGTTAAGATCTTTCCATTAATGGAATTCTTATTTTATTGGCAAATTTTGTTGAATTCTTTGATTGGTTAGTGCCACCTAAACAATCTAAGAAAATCTATCTAATCTTTTTTTGGTCAACAGAAACCCATCAAATCACTTTGATAATAATCATCAAATAAAATTGTGATAAATTAATTATGAATTTAAATACAACATTTTTATAATTATAGCTATGATCGAAATATGAAACCAGCGTTAACATGATCTACGCAATAGTCATTAACTGTAAATATAGCATACTTTTAACTATTCTAATGTTATATGCGTTGCATGAAATTTGTTACTATTTCAAGCTTTGAATATACTATCAGGGGGATTAAAACTATACTTTTAGTAACTAACTTTATTTTCGTGCCTGTCCTTCACCAAGATTTGAATTACTAGAGGGGAATTTACTTTGGCCAAAATCAAAACAAGCATTAAATATAATCAATTGGTTATGGCTGGCTCCCACTGTACGGTGCTACATGATTAGAGATGACAATTATGGATATGGACCGTAGGTATACCTCGTAAAGAACTGTTGCGGGACGGTATTGAGATGAGATTTTCTAGGCCCGTAAATTTGTGGGCCTTGCGGGACTGGGTCTTTTGCGAGATGGGCCGAAACGGGTCCCGTAGGATTACAAGGACCCGCATTTTTTTTTTTTTGAAAAAACGAGAGAATGACTCAGAAGAAAACGATTGATGTGACTTCCCTTAAGAAAACATAATGAACTCGGACGATGATGATGATTTGAGTTTCGGTGATAATGATTCGAGCTCCGCTGATGACGATTACAGCTTCAGTGATGACGATTCGAGCTTTAGTAGTGTTTTGATTTGGTTTCTTTTTTATTTAATTTGGAATTGACATTTTTGATTTTGTCTTTCATTTTATTTAATTTTTGGATTTAGCAAATTAAAATATTGGTTATGAACTTATGAGTTATAAGATCATGAAAAATATTTTCTGCAATTATTTTTACTTTATACATATATTAATATGTTTTCGCTGTGATACAAATAATTATAATTATTGTTTTGAATAAAAAAATAAGCAAATCAATGATTGATGAATTATGTTCAGTTGAACCGACGACTTGAATTATGTCTTAAAATGGCCTAAAACGTTTCGGAGGGATTTGAATCGTTCACCAGCACATATTTCACATGTTCCGCGGGACGGCTCGCGAAGATCTACAAGAAATACGGTACGAGATTGGGCTGTTGTTTTCAAGACTATATCCCGCGCGGGACAGACCCGCTGCGTCCCGCTAGATGACGAACCTGCAGCGGTCCGGGACGGGAGAGCCCAATTGCCATCCCTATACATGATTATGGATTCGCCACATATTTGTGCAATTGGTTATAAACTTATAACTATTATTTGTTCAGTTTTGTTTAGAGCTTATGCTTGAACAAAAATATAGAGAATCTGCTGAGATACGAGTCATACGACTAGTCAATCTTTTATCTGACTAACGTGACATAAATTCTTACGAAACAAGAAGGTAATAAAAGTTGAAGAGATTTCATCAGACAGACCTTCTTTGTCTTTTTTTTAAACTCAATCCTCTGTTCTTGCTTTCAAATCGAGACGCGAAACCCCATGAATTAAAAAAGCGATGACAGTAAGTATATTTGTTGTTCAAAAAAAAAAACAGTAAGTATATTCATCCTCCAGTTCGATTTCAGCGAGACTATCACACTCACATAAAAGCTTTTCGTCTGTCAACAAATGCAGAGAAAGAAACCAAACGAACACTTAAGTGTGGAACATTTATTAGATAATAGTACCATAATAATGTGGTTAACAGCTTGCGCAATTTGCTCGCCACAGTTGTTGCAACACATCACACAATTAGCAACAAAAACAAACAATATAATAATAATAGTATCTGGAATTTTAAACGACGGCTCTGTTTCGCCGGAAAAAACCAGAACAGAAGGGGTCCAAAAAAAAACCTCCACGGTTTCTTCTTTACCCTACATGAAGGTACTTAAATTAAAATCTTGGTTCCGATGATATATCGATCTTCCACAAAAACCTCTGACACACTCTTTTAAGACCAGGTTCTTAAACCCTAACCCTAATCTTTAACTTAAAAACACTAAATCACTCATGGAATCAAGCAACAAATCTCTAAAAACACACACAAATAGAGAAGCCACTCGAGTAAAACAATGCAGGAGACTGATCGATGACAATAGAGAAAAACAGAGATTAAATAAAATACTTATATACCAAACTAAAAAAGAAAAAAAAAAAGAGAGCTTAACTTTCATCCTCTCTCCGACCCGACCCGGGAGCTCCACCAGATAAAGAAGCAAGCAAATTAAGATGACCCGGAAGATAGTTCCCAACTCTAGCAGCCGAAGCTTCACCCATTGCTGCTTGTTGCTGTTGCTGCTGGTGAACAAAAAGTGCAGCACCTGCTTGTTGCTGCTGCTGCTGCTGTTGCAAGAACATCTCTTGATGAGAGGCAAAGCTCCAGACCTGTCCGAAATCCGGCCTCGCAGGAACCGCCCAGAACCCACCCGGAGCAGCAAAAGAGCCCATCGTCTCCTCTTTACTATCCTCCTCCCCTCTCAGGCGCTTTCCGAGTATAAACGGCGAGGACAAGGGTTTATGATCCAACGACGAGGATAAAACGCAGTTTGTGGAAGTGGTGGAGCTTCCTCGGAGTGAGACCGACGCGGTGGAGAAACTCGCCGGAGTTGTGCCGGTTCCCGTCGCGGCGATGATTGAAGGCTCGGCTTGACGGAGTAGCCACTCGATTGTTTGTCCGTCTGATTTGTGTCCGAGCTCTCTCGTTAGCTGGAAGACGCGAGCTGCGCAGATGATTGGCATACGGATCCGTCTCCCTCTTCCGTCGACTTTGCTGTGTCGGTCTTTCGCGGGAGGTTTCTTCACGACAAGAGCTCCTCCGTTGGAAGATTGTTGTTTCTGCTGTTGTTGTTGTTGTTGGCTTTGGTGTTCGGTTATAGATCCGTTAGAGATCATAACTCCTTCGTTGTTGTTATTAGACATGGTTTGGTTCTTGGAAGAGAGAATTGTTTTTTTTATGAGTCTCTTTTTATTGTTATTTACTCTCTCTATCTGAAACACATTGAGAGAGGAGGAAGAAGAAGCTAATGATTGAGAGGCAGGAGCTGGTGGAGACAGGAAGGAGAGCACATGGGTGGTGGGGTCCTTCTCACAGCTCACTCTCCTCTCTCTCTTTTCTTTTTTTTTTTTTGCTTTTTTTTAGAGGACTTTTTTGGCACGAAGCGGTGAGCTTCACGCTCGTTACCTCCAGTAGTGAACTCGCGTGTTGGACACGCTCCGGGATTGGGATTTAAGCCAGGTGGGTCAACCTTGTGGGGACCCGGTCCTTTCTGCGGTTGTTGCAGGCTGCTACGTGCATTTAAGAGACGTTTATCCATGCTAATCCTAGCCACGTCACCGACGCTACGTGAGTAAATTACTAACTTTTTTTACTATTTATCTGCGTAACTGTAACTCGGGTTTGATTCTGGATACTACTACTGCACAGCTCTGTCCTATGTACTGTATTTGGACGTTTAAAAGTTAAAAATACAAAAAAAAAAAAAAAATTGATATTCAAAAACTTTCATACATTTTTTTTTACAAATATTAACGCTTCAAACGGGTATTTTATAACTTTTACCTCAGCACTCCTACCACAGTAACTCTTAGCCACTGGATAAAAAGGTATTCTCGATCCAGTAAAACGCTTAGCCAAGTTCGGTGGAAACTAATCGTTTGGATTAAAGTTTATTGACATTTTAAGTATTAAAAAGATTGAAAGAAGGAGACGATCAGTGTGAGGTAATTGATTGGTAAGTAGACTTTGACATCAAAACTTATTAAAGTTGTACTAGTTTTTATTTAAAATTCATTATTGGCTATTTTCTTTGCCATTCAATTTAAATATCTGCAGTATCACGTGTTTTACGTGAAATGGGAAATGTCGAAAACTCTATTATTCAAAATTCCTTTGTCGACAGTTGGCGGATACGCAAGATTTTGTTTTATTGATTGTCTCATTGATATATTATCGTGACAATATATTTCTTTGCATTATATCGTGACAATATTTTATTCATAACCTATGCATCCAAAGCATTTGCTAATATTTTAAATTATTGTCACACCTTAACAAATATATTTCACTAAACGGATTTATTTAATTGCTAAGTTATATTACACGATACTCCACTTATCAGAACAGTAATGTGTAAGTGTAATTCTATATTATTATTATTTTTTTTTTGGTAATCTGTAATTCTATATTTAACAACAAAACGATCATGTTTGGGGAAGATCATGGCTTTGAATGTTACGTAATAAGCTTCTTAATATCAAAAGAAAAACGATAAGAGTTTTTTATAGTATTTAAGTAAAATCTTTAAGATTTAGACAAAATGTTTTCTGAATAAAATTAACCAAATCCTAACATACTTTTAATCTCATTTTTTTACACTAAAAACATAAAGATCTTCATCATCTTCATCATTATCACCACCCTTAACATTACGAGTATACTTGCCCCAAAATTTATGATCCTTCCACACTCTCGCCATCTCCTCAATGGGAACTCCTTTCGTCTCTGGCAACAAGACGTAAATGAATATCGTCATGATCAAGACCAAGACGGCGAAGAAGTAGAACAGACCAAACTTCATGTGACAAAGCATCGTCACAAAGAATTGTCCAATGAGGAAAGTGAAGAACATGTTCACTGACACGTTCAACGATTGTCCTGCCGATCTTATTTCCAATGGACATATCTCACTCGGCACTAACCATCCCAACGGTCCCCACGACCATGCAAAACCCGCCACGTAGAGACAGATCAGCCCCAAGAGTATCTTTGTATCGACCGCTGACAATGACCCTTCCCCGTCTAGCCCGAATTTCCAACCGATCATCGAACCAACTGCGACCTGAAACCAAAGCAAGACAACTTTGTCAAGTTTCATGGACTTCTAACTAAAAATGGGCTCAAATTTTTATATATTATTTAAGTCTTATCAAAACTCTTTAGAGCACAATTATCCTAGAACTAAAAAAAGAGGGTGCTTAAATTTTTTTATTTGTTTTTCTGATTTATTATAAAAAAAATTAAAAGCAACCAATTACAGATCGACACGTGTCAATGAGGTCTGTAAACAATGCTAACACTCTACCATAAACGACGTTTATATTGGTCTCATAAACACTAGTGCTTGAGAATTGTGTGGAGTCCATCTACTTATTTATTAATTTTTCCTTAAGTTCTTTTCCCTAAACTTTCCTAATAATCTTGTTTTTATATCAATGTTCTAAAAATCGGTATGGTATCTAGGCGGCCGTCTAATAATCAAATTGAAGTTAAATTAAATGGTTATTCTAAAACATTTTTTAAAAAATGATTTAGGCGTTTAAAAAATTGTCTAAATTCCCGCTTAATCAATAATCTTAAATGAATCACTTAGCTACCGTCTAGCGATTTCTTAAACGTTGGTTTATATACACACTCTTTAAAGATTAAGATTCATTACTCCGTTACCTGAGTCACTATCATCTGAATACCACCCGCAAGAAACAGAGCTCTACGTCCGAATTTATCGACACAGTAGATGGAGACAAGGGTGGAGAGGACATTGACAAGACCGGTGATGACCGCAGAGATAAGAGAAGCGTCCTTTCCAAAACCAATGGTCCTAAACAAGACAGGTGCATAGAACATGATGACATTGATCCCAGTTAGCTGCTGGAAGAATGGGATGAACGTGCAGAATACAAGCTGCGGTCTATACTTAGCTTGCGCTATATTCGTCCACGGATGCTCAACACTCTTGGCAGACTCACACGCCGCGCAAATATCCATAAACTCATGCTCAACATCCACGGTTCCTCTGATCTTCTGAAGCGTCCTCTTAGCCTCTTCTTTCTTCCCACGTTCGAGGAGAGAGTTAGGCGTCTCCGGCAAGAAAAACGATCCAAAGAGCAAAATAGCGGCCGGAACGGCCGCTAAACCGAGAGATAATCTCCAACCCTCAACGTTCTTGAGTCTAGGAGTTATGTAGTTGACAATGTTGGCTGCTAAGATCCCCATCGTGACAGCTAACTGAAAAGCCATGTTGAGAGCTCCTCTGATCTTAGCGGGAGCCATCTCAGATAGGTAGAGAGGTACAACTTGGTTAACGAAACCGACGCCTACACCGAGAAGTAACCTCCCTATGATCAACATCTCGAGGTTGATAGCGAAACCGTTGAGAAGAGCTCCTGAGAGAAAAGCTAAACCTCCGATTGTCATTGAGACTTTCCGACCAAACAGCCTTGTGATTGTTGAAGCTAGGAAAGAAGCGAATAGTGCAGCGAGGTAGAGAGATGAGGTGAAGAGTGTGAGAAGCTCGTTGTCGTATTTGCAATACTCTGTTTCACGCCCTGTTTCGTTTTGCATTTGACGTAACATGTCGGGGAAGAATCTCGTTAGAAACTCTTCCATTGATGTTACTCCTCCTACAAAAAAGTCACCATGAGAAACAATGAACAATGATAAATATTTAAAATATGTTTCTTGGTTTTGCAAGAAACGAACCTGAGATACCGATGTCGTAACCGAAGAGGAGACCGCCCATTGCAGCCACAATGCATGCAATGACGACAAAATTGGTTACACGGCCTTCTTCATGTACTACTCCATGGCCACTTTCGGTAACAAAAAATCCTCCACCCATGATTAAGGAACAAAACGCGGCGTTTTAGGGTCTCTAGATGATGATTATGTTTTGGTCGAACGATCAAGAAGTCAAGAACTCGAGTTTCCTCGTGTTTGTAATACAAACAGATTGAATAGAGAAAGAGGAAAGGAAGATTGTTCTTCCAAAAACTCTTTTCTTGCTTCTTGATCGTTTTTGCATTCCCTTTGTAAAAGTTATATGAATATTTTCTTTTTAACAATCTTGGCTGAGTTTAAAAAGAGCTATTTTGCAGAAATTGTAATCCACTGCCTGAAATCTATTAAAAACTATTTTTAGTTGAGAATCCTTTCTAATTCCATTAGATATTACAAAGATACTATGCTGGATTCTTATTTTTGGTGCAGTGAATAACCTAAGAATAGTTTGATTTAATTTGCTTGTTGGTAGACAATGATTTGAGCTGGCCACCTAAATTTCACTTTTAATGAACCTTATTTCCAGAGAAACATGTACGTTTAAACAGTTGATCTCATGTGAACAAACAAAAAAAATGTGAACAAAAAAAACAAAACAGTTGATCTCTAGTTGTCAAATGTCTGATGATGAGTGAAATATTATATGATTAATTATATAATCAAATACCATTATGCTTCTCAAAGGAAATGTATTTCAAACGAGGTTTAATAGCCTTACCAAACAGACACAAAATAAGACAATATTGGACAATTAAGATAGGTAATAAACGACATAAATTGTGTACTTTTTCATTTAGAGAAAGAAAGAGAGTAAATATGGCTGAGGATTAATTATCATTTTGAAGATTAGGCTGAGCAAGCTGAAGATGGTAATTAGGATCAATCTCGGAAGAAAGTGTAGCAAGCTGAAGAACACTGTTTGGTTGTTGCTGCTGCTGATGATGTTGATCATTATAGTACTGAACCTGCTCTAGAAACTGTTGATACTCCCCTGGTTTGGTTTCTATCCCAGCTTGCTGAAACTCCATCGCGGTACGATGCTCATGAAGCTGCAATATATTAAAAATATGTCATTTAATCGTGCAAACAAATCAACAAGTTTTCATCAAAAAATATATATATATATATATATATATATATATATATATTAACAAGCTGCAATATAGTAAAAAATATGTAATAACCAAACTTACCCAACGGTACATATTGTTGTTATCGTCTTCTAGCATCCGCCTCTAAACACATGAATGAAACATGTTATTGATCATTAAACCAACCGTATAAAAGATCATTTTAAAAAGAAATAATGGAAAAAAAAATGAGTTGATTAAAGAAGCGACCTTTCTGCTTAGATTCTCCAACTGTTGCTGCAGCAACTCATTCTTGAATATATTAACATTATAGATAGAAAAGAGGGAATCAGACAAAAACTGTAATGAACTATAGTTTTAAGAAAATATATTGATATGGGCATTACCTTACGCTCGCGGACTTTAAGGACAGAATGTTCGAGCTGTTGCTCTAGTCCATTGAGCTCGTGTGGAGTAATGGAAGCTAAGTCTTGCCCGTGGTACGGACGCAGACGGAGCTCAAGCTTACATGTCTCTCTTCTCAGTGCTTCTATCTCTTGGCACAGTTCCTCCTACACACACACACACAAAAAAAAACTTCAAACTAATCTCAATTTTTTGAAATTTTTATTTTCCTTGTTTTGAATTGGTAAAGATCAAATAAATAAGTGTGGGTATATATATTATACCCGGTTGTCATTAGGTTCAGGAAGTCTCAGTCCATGATTCTGCAAGTATCGGTCAATGAGCTGAGGCATCCTATTAGAAAAATTGGTAATCATGAAATGTGATCAAATTAGTATTTCAATCTCACAACGTCAAGAACTTTGATAATCAATGAAGGAACACAAAACTCAAATACTGATTCTAATTCTCAAAATTATGATCTATAAAATATACTTTAACAAACAAAAACAAAATGATTAATATATATTCTTGGCCAAAAGAATTGGTGGCAAGAAAATAAAACTAGAAGGTATTTCCTCTCGTTTTTTTTTGTGAAAGGAAACTTTAAAACTAATAGCATACCTTTCTTCTCATAATATGGGGCTATACGAAAATAAGTTTGTCTTCTGGTTTATGACATAGATCTAAAAATCTAAACTAATACAGCTTTATAATTAATTGTACTTAAATTGAATCATTAAACAAGACTTGTATATATATATATATATATATATATAAAGGTGTGTATGTATACGTTATGACTAAATATTAGTCAGTGTTATACAACACAATTTGAGATCTTTTTGACAAAAAATAGAGATCTTTTTATGAGAAAGGTTGTTCAAGAAACGTCAAATCTTTGCAGATCACTTTGCTCGGCATCTACTGTGTAGAAAATATACAGTTTGACCCACATATACCAGTAATGATTATATACATGCATGTACGCATATATATATATATATATACAAAAAGAATACTGCAAGAATAATTAATATATGGCATCAGAGAGATTCTTAACTTCTGGGCCATATTAAAACCTTAAAACATATTCATGGTACCTGCAGCTACTCAGAAACTAATAATGAAAACTGTCTGTTCATCACAAGCACGAGGAGCTCATTTAATTAGATCAATATACAGTTGACCAAGAAAAGAAAAAAAAATATATATATATACATACACATGTATGTATAGATCTAGGAAACCCTAATCTGAGAGAGAAAGAGAAGAGAAGAAGGAGCTAACTTGGAAGGTTCGTAGCAGTACTGGGAGAGCTTCCCGGTTGCTGAGAAGACGATGAGACCGATGTGAGCATCGCAGAGAACAGAGAGCTCATGAGCCTTCTTCATAAGACCACTTCTTCTCTTGGAGAAGGTCACTTGTCTTGATGTTCGATTCTCTATCCTCTTTATCTCGATCTTTCCTCTTCCCATCTCTCCTCTCTTCTTCTTAGTCACTCCTTCCTCTTCCTCCTGATTCAAATGTTTATGTCAGGTAAAGGCAAAAGTTAGATCAACTAAAAAGAAATCTCTAATTTTATTAACTAGAAAACGAACAAAACAATCAAGAATCTAATAAAAAACCCTAGAATTAATTACAGGATTCATTTCAATAATAGTTTGATTTTTGAATCTTGATAGCAGAGAGAAGCAAGAGGATGTGTGTGCGTGAGTTATATAGTGTGAAATATATATAGAGAGAGATAAGGGAGTAAAGAGAAGAAAGCAAAAAAGGAGAAGAGAGTATTTTAAGTACTTTTTGTTGAGTTGTGTTCTTCTAAGGATCTGGAGGATGGAGATCAGTAGTATATGAGGTTGGATGACACTAAGAGGAGAGATGTTAATCAGTTAATGCTGAGGAATATGCTTAATTACTCTCTATTTTCTCTATAATTCTGTGTGTATAGCGTGTGGTTTCATCTTACCATTTCCTATAATCTATTTTCTCTATATGCCTAATTTCTTTTCTCTTTCTTCTCCTTTCTTACATATACCAATACCATTAATACGTTTTTTTTCTATAAAGTGGAGAGTGCCAATAATGTTTTTTTTTTTGGAGAGTGCCAATAATGTTTATATAAGGCTTTACCTATTTCAACATCAACTTCTTAGGGTTAGTTGCTTTACATTCTTACTGCTACTATCGTAAAAAGAAAATCTCTCTATATATGTGTGTGCGCTAATATCGTAAGAGAAAGTCTATATATATATAGGTGTGTGTGTGCTAATATAAAAGAAACACTGTATATCTCCTTTTTATTTTATCTGTAAAGTGAATTACTCAAGATACAGTATATACCAAACACTTATCTACGGGTGAGCGTTCAGATATCCAATCAATCATGTTGAATTCGGGTCTATTCGGATTTTGAATTTCTGTGTTTAAAAATTTTAATCGTATTCGAGTATTAATAAATTTCAGTTTGGACTCAGTCGGATCTTTGTGATTTGGTCGGATTCTAATAACCCGTTTAAATTATTTTTAAATTTCAAAATTCATATATATTTTAAATTTCTCAAAAATTAAACTAATATTTAACTTAAATTTTTGAATAATGTATACCAAAATCCATAAATTTAACATAATATTTTTTTCTAGCATGAATATTTGGATGGAGAATAATAGCTATTTTAAGCATTTTTGGTGTTTTGGGTATTACTTAGCTATTTTAATTATTTATTTTAACTATCTGTATATTTTTGGACAACTTCATAATATCTTATATAATTTGGATATATTTTTGGATAATAATTCTAAAAGTAGCTAATATATTTAAAGTATATAAACATGTTTGGATATTAAACCAGTTTCTGTTCAAGTTCAGTATTATTTTTTCGGATTGGATTCAGTTCTTTAGGTTCAAATTTTGTGTCCAGCCTTAATCTACGAAGTAAAAAATAAATTTTAGTCCAAAAAGTAAGAAAATATAAATAAGTTAGGTTATTTGGTAAATCTATAGCAGAAAAGTCCCTTTTAGTCAAAATTAAACCATTAATTGATTTGATCTGCCATGCATGATGCAATAGTATAAAGAATCCACAACGGAAATTTAATGAAAAAAATTTGTAAGGAAAGAAAGTTACCAAATAATTAAGGCAAAAGGCAAAAGAGAAAGTAGCCAAATGGGAAAGGACAAAGTGTAACAATATTTGAAAGTGACTTTTTTAATTTTTTCTTACCCACCTCCTAAGCGCCCTGACTTCTTTTGTGTCAATAGTAAAATGAATGTATGTATAGTTTAATTTATGTTATCATCTTCTTCTTAATTCTGTCACAATATTCACTAATGAAAATCGAATTCAAACCTGAGATAGCAAAGCACAATACATACTACCCTCGTTTCATAAGATACAATGGTTAATATTTTGTATGGTTTATGATAATTTGGTTACAAAATGAGAGGAAAACAAGAGAGGAATATGTGTCTTTCATCAACAACATCACCACACAAAGCACAGAAAAAATGTTGTGGCTAATATGTTGAGTTTCTAATATATTCTACATTTCATGAAATGAATCTGAATATTTTGTGTGTGTTTGGATGGTTTCCTATAGCTTTAATATATACTGAAGCTCGAGCATGGAAGTTCTGAAAATCGATATTGGCATATATATAGATCCTCTAGCTATCATAATCTCTACATTTTAGCAGAACATAAAAATAATAACCTCTACATATAAACTTGTAACATGTACATTATATAGAGTTTCTAAAAAATGTAAACCTTAATAGTAATATCAGTAGCTACATCAGATCAGATTTCTTTTAATTAGAATAAAAATCTGATAATATGACTGATGAACTACTATTTTAATGGCATGCTTGTAGCAAATATGCCAAACAAAAGCCAAACTGTCGATTAAATAACGAACCCTTTTTTGTGAAAAAGTAACGAACCAATTTTTTATTTTTTTGACAAAAAAGAAGTAACGAAACCAATTTACATCATTAGCGAAAACAATACGTAGACAATTTTCATACATGTGACGTGAGCAATACAATAATAATAATAATAATAATCCGTTTGATTTCAAATGTAAAGCCTTTTCCTTTGAATTTGTGTCATAAGATTTTTTAAGGAAGTAGCTCTTCTGTTCTCTGTCAGAGATTCACAAGAAACATGTTATGGTTTCTAAATTAGGAAACTCATGATTAAAGAGGAAGAATTGGGTCCAAAGCTATTTTAGTCATTCAGCTACCCCACTCTCCTGCATCCCTCTGTCTAACAAGCTTGTCTGCGTACAGATACGTATACAAGCATAGATATAACTATAGAGTTTTTATTGATTTATTAAATAGATAAATGTTTTTGATTTTGTCGACAGAGAAAGATTAAGACGTATGACATGAAATCACATGTTACAATATCTGACGTCGGATTTTTTATGTGATTCAGTGATTAGCGTTGGTATTACCATTGATTAACTAGGAAAGAAAGACCCACTAGGTCTCTTCTGTTTTGTATTGTCACCTTTTTATAATTTAAAAGCCGCTCACATGTCAATTAGTTTCCTATATAGAACAGCTTTATGAAACATTAATTTATTACATACTTAAAAACATAATTTACAACTATTTATAACTGCCAAAAAGTTTTTGTTAATAACCATTCAAATCAAGAGCTATTTATTAGTATCATACTAGTCCTTGAGAATTTCTAAAATAGTAATATAATGAAAACAACTGTGGCCATTAAATCAATAAACTTCAAAACAAACTGGTATAGAAAAAGAGGGGAAAAGGGCATATTCCTACCCGAACAATTTCAATCGTGCCAAATACAACCCGAACAAACATCCAGTGCCAAATACGACCTGAACTACGTTATAATGCAAAAATACTACCTGAACTTTTTAAAACGTGCCTAAACCTACATTGACCGTAACATAAGTTAGTCAACCGTTAAAATGATAAATCGACGTCGGGAAAAGGGCCTATTCCTACCCAAACAATTTCAATCGTGCCAATTACAACCCGAACAAACATCCAGTGCCAAATAC